ACGACGCGGTCACGTCGATCGATCAAACATTCCCCGAGGCGGTCGCGCGTACTGTATCTCCGGAAGGGCTGGATTTTCATCGATCCCGCGCGACAATGTTGCACGCGAGAGCTGTTCCCTGTTCCTGTTCCGCGACACTACGGCGACCGTGCCGGCGATTTTAAACTGTCCGTTGATCGAAACGATCGCGTCCGCCTCCGAGCGCAGGTTCATTCGCGTGCTATCGGCCGCGGTTACGTAGCGCGACTGGGTTAATAAACTCACGCGCGTATGTAAATCCGACTCGTTTTCCAACGACATCCTCTCCGGTATCTCTGCCCTCCCTTCGCGGATGGACAGGTTACTGAATAAGGATTTCGTCGATCCGTTAACTGATCGGGCGCGCGCACGATGCGTCGAGCCCGATACTCCAGATTGAGATACCGTAGGGTTCCGTTAACTGGAAAATACGATCCAATAATGGCGAGTCGAGATCCACGGGTTCAATCGCCGTCCGGTTTCTCGCTACTTACGGCGTCCAGGGACTCCTGGATGCGAGACGCCCCTTTGGAAATTGTTTTCGCCTTGCACGTAGAGCACAAGACCCTTCGGGGCATTCGATTTTAATGAAGCATCATCGTGCACTGATAGATTCGATCTTCCTAACAGCAGAAACTCGATAGTTCTTTTAGATGTTTATAATTAATCTTTCATCGTTGCTTTTAAATATCTACGAAGCTTTGAAACACGCTGTAGTTTATGGTTTAGTAACGCACGTTGCTGTCGGTATCGCTAACGCTTGTGCATTCCACGTGAGAAGCTTTCTACTCGCTCAATTCCCATTTCCCTCGAGCGAACGTTGCTGTTTCAAGGATAATTTATTCTTTTGATTCAATCCGCTCTGTTTATTCGGATTTTCTATGGCTGTTATCCTCTTTAGAAGCTCCCAAACGTTTAGCAGTAGGATAGGGGGGCTGACCCAGCAAATCCGTTAGATGTATGCACTCGTGAAAAGCTATCTCTTCGATCGATATTTCTAAAAATTTTCTGGCCATGACCTATTTGGACGAAGCATATTCTATAGAAACATTCTACCCAATAATGAACCCACTGCCCCTCGCATAATCCCTGGTGTGCAGATAGGTCACACATTAATGCTCAGAAGCGAGCCAACAAATGCTGCGCTGTTGTGCAAAATTGTGAATTATCGGAGTTATCGTCAGCCTTGAACTTATTTCGACTAAAAATAAGTCGGAACAAAAAGTGAACCACCAATGCTTTTCAGTCGCAGCGGTTCGTAAACAGCATTTGTTGGAATCGTGAATCACGCATAACTGGGTGACGATTCCACTTAACCGATTAGCAGGATTTTGCAAACAATTCGTAAGAGTTTATACACAAAACTTTGCGCAGATGTTTAGAAGGAAATCGTCGGACTACCTTAATATGTAAAATATGCAATCGACCGTTACACACGGTGGTGGGTCGATAATACCCAGGGGTGAAGAGAATATACGACTATTTATACGTCACTCGTTAAATAAAAATAAAAGTATCAATTATAGGATGGAATATGTCACAACGGGCAGACAAAAATTTAATTGCTCTATCGATTAACCGTCACGAACAAATTGCTATACGTTGGCTAGTACAGGTCGAATATTAAGCGTTCGTAATATACGTAGTCCCGTGTCAGTTGCCTAATTTACAATTCGAATAATTTCCGAAGGCGAGCCATCGGGACAGTGTTTTTTTTTTTTTTTTTCTCCTCGATTTTCTATTTTTAAGTCCCACCGATCGACGGCCTCGAAGCGGTGTTCCGCGCCGCGTCTCGAGTGCTATGAATTCTTTCATTAAAGTCGACGGCTCTTTAATACGTACGGAGGATGAGAGATCTCGCGAGGCGTGTGTGTACACGGTCGCGTGGGCGTGTGCCGTGGATCACGCGACCCTCGTTTACAATCAGCCCTTTGACACACGACCAAACGAGGCCCACGCGTGTTTGAAAGGATCTCTCCTCCCAACGACGGAGAAAAAGCGGATTCTTTCAGACCCGGGTCGGCCTATTCAATGAGCCTTTAAACTTTAAACTGACCCGTTGGCGAAACGTGGATCGCGTCTCGGAAATCGAGCCTCTCGTTTCGACGGATCGTATTTGATCGCTCGAAACAAATCCATTGTCTTCGCATTTTCTTGAACCGTGGAATCTGTAAAACGTGTTCTCAAAGCTTCTGAAAGATACAATGAAATTGTTTTCTGCTATTTACATTGCTGCAACAATGAAAGATAAACTTATAAAATATAAGCGTGTAAGGAATGTGTAGCATTGGCGAAGCCGGGAGACTGGTTAAACGCGCGGCGTTCGATATTTGTCCATGATCTCGAATCGAACGCTCGAGTTCTGGAATGTTGTTGATGCAGTGTTGTCTTCAACCCAGTTTGCCCGGCTACCAATTCGATTCTTTGTATTATTGTATACATATAATATTGGCCACCGTCGTCATCGCGCTTGTTAATCTGTGCATTACTTCATCCTGTTAGCAAAGAGCACGGTAAAGGACGCCTGCTTCTGGCGATGACGGCATCGTGCTTGTCGAACTTGCAACGACACGAACGGTTTACCAATTCCGCGAATTCCACCGTGATTTCTATGCAACTAGCGCGATGAATCAGTTTTGTTATTAGAATCGAGTCGTAAGCATGCAAGGCATTCGAGATCGGTAAACAGTAAACACTGGGATGAGCGCGATGACAAACACAGTGTTTTAGCCTCGACAATAGATTTATGGACCTTGATTGTACATACTTTTATCGAGATATTTCACGGGAACGCGTTCGAAAGACCCTGGATCGGAGGATCGTTGACAAAATGCGTTTTGTTTTCATTTGCATAGAGCGTTACACAACGTGCCCTAGGAGGAAATTTATGTAATTACTCTTTTGTCGGGATCGGTTGCGTGGTCTGCGTAACGAGATATTCGTTTGGAATTGAACGCTAAACCGTGATTTCCGTTCCGTCCGATACACGTTTCTCTCTTTGTGTCTCTCAGCGTTCGTGCATGACTCACGCGCAGCCTCTGGCCTATTGCAAAAAGAACTTGGAATCGCCACAGACAGATCATTTTTTTTTTTTCCCCCCAGCCAACGCTCGTTCGTCATGCTAGGCATTAATGGCGTTTGAACAGCATCCCGGTGTACGGCTCTGATTCCGTGCAATTGAGGTTGAATTACTATTTGTCTGGGTGACCATTGCATAAGGCTATGCCCGCTCTACCTCGCTGTAGTCGATTTGAATAGTCCAGTCCGCCGGAGCGTGTCGGTCAGGGTCGCGCGAGTTACTTCTTTTTACGGTTCTTTTTCGTGGCCGTGCGTCTCCGTGTAAATAATTGAAAGCGCGAAACAGAGAAAAACTGTATTTATCGTTCGACCTAGCGTTCTCCCCCTCTGTGCTCGCAGCTGTTGATCGTCCGGATTATAATCGGGACCCTTTCGTACCTAACTGTAACGTACAGATGTGCAGATGCATAGTTATAAAAACTATAATCTTCTCCTACGAATAATATCAGAAAAGTATTCGATGGAAACTGTTCGATATAAATATTGTAGAACGGCGATGTATGAGCACCGATACGATCAGTCAACGTTGGCCTTCCAATGATCGATACAGCGTTATCGAGAAATTGTAATTGTTATCGACGAGGTGTTCCAAGAAAACGAAAAGTTACTTACGTCGTCGGAACTTTTAACCGGCGAGTACGCGGCTCCTTAGAACACCACCGAGGCCCCCTTGGCACGCTACTATCGATCGTGAACTTAGACGATACTTTTATAACGACCGTCCAATAATACCTGCGAGCGATATTTTAAGCGCGACGTAATAAGTATCGGCGTTTCATTGACTCCGTATCGAGACATTGCGCCCGGCGTGGACAGCGTTCGTTCTATCTTGAAGAAGGGCCAATGACCTGTGGTAAATGCACACACGCGCTTCCATCGTACGTAACTGCAACCTGTCCACCAAAGTCTTACGAAATCACTCGTCGTACTGTTCCCTCTATCATTTTACCGCTCCGCGTGCGGAGATCTTGCCCGATAGATCTCGCTCGCCTCGTTATATCCTCGCGCCATGGCATACGAGGTTCGTTGCCGGAGTAACGAGGTCTGGTTACGCGAATATTTATTCAACGAAATCTTCCAATATGTTCATATATCAACGTCCAAAAGCGACACGATGCGAACGGTGGTTTTCGTTCTTCGTAACGCGATAGGAAGTCTGACAATTCCGTTAATGCGTCGGTGACGTATGCACAAACTAAGCCATGACACGTATAGAGAAGTGTATACTTTCCTTTTGGAACATTATCACACGAGATTGAAAGTTGCGTCGTACCTGAGAGGCGAAGGATCTCAGTTTAGTGGTTTTGGCCATGAAATCACGAATTTTCCCCACTATGCGTCGGCCTTTCACTTTGGACTTCTCTTTCGGAAATAAGGAAAGAAATCGCAAGGCGAAAGGTCTCGTAAATATGGCGGCTAGAGAGAGAGAAAGGGAGGAGGTTGACTGTAATATAGCGTTTAGTCAAAAATTTAGATTGTTAACCTTTGGTCAAACTCTCTTTATGCGTTTAGTAAGTCGAGAATATAGTATCACTCGATCTGGCTGTCGATCTACTGCGCTATATAATGATTTAGATCTCTGGTTGTAAAGATAGAGGGACATTCGATAGGAATGGTTTCAGTGTATCGCGATCGGTCGAGCCGCGCGGTTAATGGTCAAGTTCGGATCAGCTCGTTCTTTTTTCGCTAATGAGATAGAAGCCACAGTGTTTTACGGAGAGGGTACGCGCAGTACTGCGAGCCCCGAGCAAATATTGATTGTTTCTCTACATGGCACCCTTTAGTCTAGACACAGGATCCATACTCGAATATACTGATACCGGCTCGCGATCTTTTCTCGGCGCAACACCGTTCGAATCATTCAAAGAATCCATTTGATATTTAATTCGTACGATTTTTTTTAGCACAGGGTTGAAGTATGCCGGAAGAACAGAAGTCCGCTGGTGGTCCGCCGGAAGTAACAGCAGAAAATGGGACCGGAACGAACTCCCCTACGAAAAGTCCAGTTAGCAAAGGGAAGACGGCTGTTGCGAAGATCACCCTGCTCGATGGGACCGTAAAAGACTTCCACATCGACGTGAGTTCTTAAACATCTCCCTGACTCGTCCGCCACGCTCGTTCGAATTTACATTTTATTCCAGAGGAAGGCGAAAGGCCAAGACCTGCTCGACATGATTTGTCAGAGCATGAATCTGCTGGAGAAAGATTACTTCGGCCTTATTTACGAAGACAGACACGACCCACGGAACTGGTTGGACCTTGATAAAAGGATCACGAAATTTGTGAAAAGTTTGTATCATCGCTCGTACGTCACGCGACATTATAGGCATGAAATTAATGTATTTATGTTGAAACGCAGACGAACCGTGGAAATTTAATTTCGAGGTGAAGTTTTACCCTCCAGACCCGGCTCAGTTACAAGAAGACATAACACGATATCAATTGTGCCTTCAGATAAGAAACGACATTATCACAGGACGATTGCCGTGTTCGTTTGTTACTCATGCTCTTCTAGGTTCGTACTTGGTACAGTCAGAAGTCGGGGATTACGATCCGGACGAGCATGGACGTACATACTTGAAAGATTTCAAGTTTGCCCCGAATCAGACACCAGAGCTCGTAGAGAAAGTAATGGACCTGCATAAAACGCATAAGTTAGTTTCGTCTATTGATCGTCGAATTTATTGATCGATAAGGAAAGGTGGTAAAGTTACGTTTGGGAACTTTCAGGGGCCAAACACCTGCTGAAGCTGAGCTCCATTATCTCGAGAACGCGAAGAAGTTAGCGATGTACGGAGTTGATCTCCACCCCGCTAAAGATTCCGAAGGCGTTGATCTGATGTTAGGTGTATGTTCGTCGGGCCTTCTTGTCTACAGGGACCGATTACGAATTAATAGGTTCGCCTGGCCAAAGATTTTAAAGATCTCTTACAAGAGGCACAATTTTTATATAAAAATCAGGCCCGGCGAATTCGAGCAATTTGAATCCACGATTGGTTTCAAATTGGCAAATCACAGGGCGGCAAAAAAATTATGGAAGGTTTGCGTAGAACACCATACTTTCTTCAGGTGAATAACGATTTAAAAATTGCGTGGATGTTAAATGTGTATGAAATTGAAAGGTGTTGCTAAATACGATTTTAGGCTCATGAGTCCAGAGCCTGTGAAGAAAGTAGGTTTGATACCACATTTGGGTTCTCGCTTCCGATACTCGGGAAGAACTCATTACGAGACGAAAAAGACTCCTATCGACAGACAGCCTCCGCAGTTTGAAAGATCTTTGAGCGGACGTCGCCCTACATCTCGCAGCATGGATGGTAAAACCACTTTTGTCATTCGTAAACTTTATTCAGCGTCTACGTAGATATGAAAATATTCTAACGGACTAGAGGTGCCGTTTTCAGTGCTTTTATTATGAAGTTATTAGATTACATTAAGTTTTTGATATAGTGTGACTGCCTTACACAGCATTAGGTGGGCCTAAACAGGTTGAAAGTTATGGTTCAGAACCAAGCAAGAGACATACAATGAGTTATGAACCTGAAATGATCCCCGATATGGAGCATATAGATCAACGACCTAGTCCGATTAAAAAACAAAAGGAAAAGGTAAAAAGGGATATACTTATTATCGGTTTTTTTTCAACTATATTCGATATAGCGATAGTTTGTAGAAGATGCATGAAATCGTCATGCAAATTGAAAAATTATTTCATGAAAATTCATTTTAAGGGACGTCTGATTTTATCTGCGGTCTACGCTTTCAAACAAACTTGTTTTTAAAGATATTACTAATTATTTAATCTCACTGTTACCATGTGATTTTTTGAAATATTACGAAGAAATTGTAGAACACCAATTGGATCACTCGAAAGACAAAGAGGATAGAATATTCGATTAAAAATACAAAATTTATTCACTGTGCACTTTTTCAGATTAAACAGATAATACTTGTAGCCGTGGCATGTTAATGATTTATTGTATACCATGTATTAGACATGGTTGTATGCATTAGATACTTTATTACATTCATTCTGGAATTGGTGAGAAAAGTTATGTAATTAAGGTGCAAGTTAATTGACCTTAACTGTTGAATTAAATATGAAATCTTTTAGCGCTCGACATAAAACTTGCAATTGATACAGTTCTGTATGCATTTAGTTAATTAATTTGTATGAGATTCGTGAAGATTTGAGATATCCCCACGTAGAAACGCGTAGATTTTACAAGACATTGTCTTTATAATTATTGTTAAAAGTTGAACACATGGCATTTGTATGGAATTAAGTAATTTCACAAACTTCAATTCAATATTCACGTCCTAGTGCATCAACCATAAAAACTAACTGACACCTAACTAACACCGGTAGCTCACACGCAAAACAAGTGCTGGAACAACATCAGCTAGCAGTACCAGTAGCCTGGAAGGAGAATATGACGCAGATCGTGGCAAAAAGGTATAGAATTTTACCTGGGACAATACTGTCATGCATTTAACCACCATATTTTAATTTCTATTAATGGATGTGACCATTTGGTGTTTTCCTTTTTTCAATGCATGTTGCTATTATTTTTTTATTTTCTTTTATTTATTGAAAGAATTATACGGCCATCGCCTCAAAGCTGAATAATCAAGTTATCTGACATTTAATGTACGGTGATGTCACACAAGCATGCACAGGTGCAGAAAGTTATGCAAACATTTTCGCAAGTTATGTTAACAATCTCCATAGAATGAAACATTTAAATTTAACCGCGCTAATGCTTATAACCGCATGTAAATAATAATCATCGCAAGCAACATCATGTTACATGCAGTAACGGTAAACAATAAAATCCAGAGAAAAGTTAGACGTTGTTACTCGAAAGTAAATTCTGCAGGAAAGATCTAACAGACCAACGACTACATTTTTTGAGAGCGCAGACCGTACTTAGTTGTCGAGCATGAAACATATGCCAAGAGAATGTGAAAAACATGTAGTTTAATTGGTAGCTTAGCGATAGACCATTTTCGTGCTTATTGCATGTAGCGATGTGTGATTATAAATTTACTTGTAGAAACCGGTCGGAGGAATCGCTGTCCTACCGCCCGGTGGTCTATCTAAGAAGAAAAAGGATAAGCAAAATGAAAATGAAAAGGAAAATCATAATGATCTCAACAATTCTGATTTGATTAATGAAAGTGCTATCCTTGACAACAACGACATAAAGTCGCCCAGTAAAAAAGAATTGAAAAAGAAAGATAAGGAAACGCCAGAGAAACGTGATAAAGATAAGAAAGAGAAACTAAAGGTAAGTAAATTGTTCTGCTATTGACGTGCTATGCAGCGTGTTATAGTTAGCGAGAAAGAGTTTAGTTCGTCGTGGTCGTTCTTAGAACAAGACATTTTATGCGTAAAAACTGATGATATTTAATGTAAAAAATAAGTTCCATTGAATTTTACTTTGATAAACACAACGGTGTATCTGTATAATGATTCATATACATTCCATATTATAAGTATATATATACACATACATAATCCCAAATTACAGATATGCACGGCTATTACTTTATTTTTGTAAAAGAAAAAATAGCGATGCATCAATATGTAGTTCTCCATTAGCTTTGTTAGTTTATTTTTTTGATACATTTATAAAAAATATATATATATATTAGACTATGGCATGTTTCTGGTATTGCATGTTTTTGTTTATTATGAAAGAGTCCTGTCGGTGGCTTCCTATTTGGCAAAAAGGAAAAGGATGCAAAGCAAAAGAAGCAGAAAAAGAACAAAGAACTGGAAGAATCGTTGGAGAAAAGCGATACAGAATCGAATCTGTCTACGTTAGAGAAACAAGTGAAACCTTTGACCGAAACATCGAATATCGAGAAAACGAGAACCACTCCGGAATCCCCACAGCTCCCCAGCTACACAAAACCTTACGATTACGAGGAAACGGAAACGTCCCCAACAAAGAAACCATTTACGCCGCACGGATTTTCCTACGAAGACAGGCCAGCATCACCCGGAGTTCAAAATCAACAATCGCCAACTGCTGCGAGTCGTAAAGCTACAGGCTTAGCTTTTAATTACGCCCCGGGCGAGGAAAAAAAAGTAGCGGAATCAGCAGAAAAAAGGAAAACCAAAGAAACGGATACTAATAAGCCCTTACCGGGATTAAAGACCCCGGGCCTTAATTACGTGGAATCCGCGGGATTAAAAGAGCAGCAAAAAGCCACATGTCCACCAGAAACTGATAAAACTGCATCAGCAGCTTTTATTGCCGTTGAGCAACAACAAGAGGGTGCTGATCAACTACCAGTTACAGAGTCCATCCCGGAATACCATATTTTGCCACTTCCAGACGGTACTAAAGTTATTGCAGGTGTTATTTATAACAAGGATGGAAAACCTTTGGATCAACATAATCTTGGCCCGGAAGGTAGTAAAATAATAAATGGGAAAATTTGTACGAAGGATGAAAATCCAATAAAAAAAGCTGACTTCGGACCCCATGGAATTTATATCAACAATGGTCTAATTACGACTAAAGATGGCAAACCCGTGAACCAAAAGTCTTTGGGCGTTGAAAGAAACTTTGTTAAGGATGGTATTATACGCGATTATAATGGGCAAATAATTGACCAGCATTTATTAGGACCGGAACACACGCTGGTGAAGGAAGGTAAAGTTGTGATGAAAAATGGAAAGCCAGTACAATACAGTCAGTTGGGCATAGATGGGACATACATAAAAGATGGTCTTATATTCACCCCGAATTCTAAACCACTTACTCAAGGTTCATACGGTGTAAATGAAAATTATATCGTCACAGGAATAGTACTTGATAAAAATGGAAAACCTCTAAATCAGATTGCAGTTGTACCCAATGAAACTTACATTTACGATGGTTTAATTTATGGGGAATCGGGAAATGCCCTTGATAATGGTATTTTGGGTCACGAAGGTCACTATATAACGGATGGAAAAGTTTATTCGAAAGATGGTAAACCTGTAAAACATGAATCCTTTAGTTCAGACGGATCTGTCATAAAAGATGGTATAATTTATTCAAAGGATGGAAAGTTTTTGAGTCAAGGATCTTTGCTTCCTTGTGGTGCTCATTTGAAAGACGGGAAAATTGTTGGTAAAGATGGAAAAGCGATTAAGCATGCATTTTATAAACCTGATGGCAGTTTTATAAAAGATGGTATTTTATATGGCAAAGATGGTAGACCTTTAAGTCAGATTCCTCTAATAGCTAGTGGAAGCTTTATCAAAGAGGGCATTGTACATGGTAATGATGGCAAGCCATTATCACAGAATCTTTTCAAACCTGATGAAATCATAATTAAAGATGGTGTAATTTATGATGTGAACGGCGTAACGCTATCAGATGCTTATCTTGGGCCGGATGGCCTTTTGATAAAAAATGGAATTGTAATGGGGAAAGATGGTAAACCGGTTAAACAAGAGTCTTTTGCCTCGAATGGAAGTTATATAAAAAAAGGTGTTATTTACTCAAAAAGCGGTAAACCCCTTAATCAAGATTCATTGATACCTGAAGGTGCATCTATCAAAGATGGTAAATTGTACACTAAAGATGGAAAGATTATGAAGTTTTCATTCTTCAAACCAGATGGAAGTTACATCAAGGATGGTCTCGTATACGGTATGGATCGTAAACCTTTAAATCTGTGTTCGGCCCTTTCGGAAGATAGTCTCATTGCAAATGGAGTAATCTTTGATTGCAATGGTACGCCTTTGACTAAAGATGTCTTTGGATCTGATGGTTCATACGTTGCTGGTGGCATAATTTATGGAAAAGATGGCAGAATAATTTCAGACGGTGTTTTTGGACCAGATGGTAATATTATTAAGAATGGATTGATCATTGGCAGAGATGGAAAACCATTGACTCAAGATGACAAGGGACCAGACAGTTTAGCAGTAAAGGATGGAAAGGTTGTTGATAGCCAAGGAAAGCCTAAGAATTTAGCATCCCTTGTCCCAGAGGGATGTTATATTCGTGATGGTGTAGTTTATGACAAAAATCAGTGCCCTCTGAAGCAAGGAGCTTTTAAACCTGATGGTAGTTACATCAGAGATGGTCTCATATATGGATGGGGTGGACAGTTGTTGAATGCTGGTACTGCACTACCTGGTGGTAGCTATATCGACGAAGGTAGAATTTATGGAAAAGACAGGCAACCTTTGAATCACAGTTCATTTGGCACCGACGGAGGATACATTCTTAATGGTTACATTTACGGCAAAGATAAAAAGCCACTTAGACGTGGAATGTTTGGTAACGACGGAAGTTACGTAAAGAATGGTTTGATACACGAACCAAACGGGAAACCACTGAATCGAAAACAAACAGTGATTACTGTTACGCTTGTTCGTTACGGTTTAGTATGTGGCAGTGATGGTAAACCATTGAAATCTGGCGATTTTGATACAAACGGCAGTATTATTAAAGACGGAAGAATTTATGATCATACTGGTCAGCCTTTGAATTATGATTCTTATAAAAATGACGGAAGCTTTATTAAAGATGGTCTCATTTGCGGAAGCAATGGAAAACCAATGTCTCAAGGTAATCTACCACCAGAAACTAGTTACATCAGAAACGGAAAGATTTATGATACGAATGGACAACTGCTTACACAGGAAGCATTTGGTCCTGAGGGTTTGAAAGTGGTACAGGGGGTTGTTGTGGATAAAGCTGGTAACATTTTGAAACAAGGAAGTTTTGATGGAGAAGGCAATGTTGTTAAAGAAGGCATTATTTGTGCACCCACAGGCAAACCTCTTGACAAATATTTCACTGTAATTACTATTAGTTTAGTTCGTAAGGGTCTGCTGTGTGACAAAGATGGGAAACCAGTCAGGCAAGCACCATTTGCAAATGATGGAAGTTACGTTAAAGATGGCAAGATTCACGACAAATTTGGTAAACTAATGAATCAAGAGATCTTTGGAGAGGATGGAGCATTTGTAAAAGATGGTATGATCTTTGCTAACACTGGACAGCCTCTAGACAGTGATACTATTTTGAAGGAAATAGAAGACACAACGAAGCCTGTCTCTTTAAAAGCGAAAAAGTCTGCGGCTCCGAGCACTGCTCCAACAATAGTGAAAACGACAACTAAGCAATCGGTGGTAAAAGATCAGGAAGGCGTGACGCAAAATATTGAAGAAAAGATTGAGGATCTTACACCTGGAGGCACAGGCCAAGTAACGGTTTCCACGCAAATTAACAAGGTGATACAATTTTTACAGTAATATAAAATACTATATATAACAAATATAAACTACTTTGCTAACTGCAAAAGGTAAACAAAAAAATTTGCAAGTTTATGAAACTTGTTTTACTTTTTAATATTTAATAGAGGGAGAAGAGGAACCATGACCATACAGATTATTTTAATAATTATGCATTTGTTTAAGCTCCTCTATTCCCCTCACGAAAAATTTCATTAAATATCAAAATGGTCAAGTTTATTACGTTTTTTAAAATTACAAATCATTAATTTACTGTATTTTAATGTTCATTAAAATACTTGAATATTGTACTAGTAATCTATTTAATAATTGTATGACATGCATTGTAGATATTGCAATATGATCCTTAGTAGTTGAATATTTGTGTATTGCATGCAGTAAATATGTGTTATTTATATAAATTGCGATTAAAATATACAAACAAAATATTTATAATCATCTTGAAACCAGTGCATAAGGAAGAACAAAAAATTGAATTCATTACACTCTTAGTGTTTTCTTCTAATGTTATATTTGCACATACGTTCTTCCTTTATTATAAGACATTAGTCACCTTGTAGTTGTATTTAGGCAGAGGCACCGGATGATGGTAGAGCCCCATACATGACAGCAACTGCTGTTACTACACGCACTGCTACAATGCTTGAGGACCTTGAAAAGAATCAAAAAACCAGTCAGGTTTGTACTGTTATAAATTATTAGTATATCGTTACATTTTTCGCATACTTTTGCATATCGCCGTTGTCACAATGTATTTCTCTATAGAGCTACAATTATTTTTTTATCATTTTTTTTTTTACATTAGGTAGAGGAAAAGACTGTAGCGCATACAACTGCAACCAGTGCAACAAGGCAGGAGCAGAGAGTAGTAACTCAGGAAGTTCGAACAACGAGTCATGTACTTTCCGGTGAACAGGTAATAATGTATTTAAAGTTTAAAAACATAAAAAGCTCACCACTAATGGATGAAGCATGTAATCATTTATGTAAATTACCACATGTCATTATACTTGGTTGATTCTAACATCAAATCATTAAAATATATCGCGTTACATGCTAGTAATATTGATCATTGCACATTCATTTTAATACTTTTAATTTTATGAAAAGTTCTCATAAAATCGTAAAGCTTATGATTTCTTTACATTTGGAGCATACAGATTTATTTCCACTTTAACATACATATATAAATAAATACAAATTATACACACATTCGATATACATATAACATAATCATACAATATATTTAAACAAAGGAAGTGGTAGTACTTGATCCGTTTATAATATGATTAATTTATAAAATTTAATCCATGCTATTTTCATTTGTTTATTTTTTTTATTTATTTTTGTAATTAATTTTTACCGGCTTGGCTAACACATTGCATGGTGTAGCTGTTCTCTCGAAGGCTCAGTACATCCAGTTCAAGCAGTGATGATTCAGGTACTCCAATTGACCTTGAAGATGATCAACCAGCTTTCTACAATCAATATTATCAGGTAAATCTTTAGGGATGGAATAATCATGTCGGACAATTATCAAGAGCCTTCAAAAAAGGTCTTTATTGATATAAGTACAGATTATAGTATATTTTTGGAATCAGTCTGTAGATGGATCTTCATCAAGGTACATGTTTTTCGTGTTCTTTTGATTGCACAGTATAAAATGTACTGAAAGCATTTCTAAAGTGAATGACAATTGTTGAAACGATGCTATTAATACTAACTTGCTCATACAAAACGCATATATTGTTTAAATTATTTAAGATACATTACATAATGCTCACATACATAATTACTCATTTCATAATGGTGCTCATTATTTAACATTCATGGGAACATAAAAAGTAACATTTACAATAACGACATAAAAAATGTAATGTTTTCATTACCTCGAAAGCACTGGTTTTAAGGTATAATCGGTAGTTTATACAATTAACATAATGGCTATAATAGTTTAATAAGACCTTGGTTCGCAGTATTTTATCTATATAACTCTATGTAAAAGTTGGGCAAATTAATTTGTAAATTCGTTTGTAAATTAAACCGAAATTCCTGGTGAACAGAGCCGCGAACGAAAGCTAATTTACGAATGAATTGAAAATTTGTATTCGTTATTCGTGTATAAAATTTGCCCATCTCTGCTCTATACATATATGTATAACTGTGTGGTATCGATGTAACATATTATTTTATTTTAAACGTACCTTTTCATCCTCGTTTCGCTTAGACAAGAAATACCATTGTTTAAATTTAATTCAGGGTGATCCAGCTGGTGTTATGGCAACTGAAACACTTGTTTACAAAGGAGAACCTGAGAATAATGTAACAACTACGACAGTTCCATTAGTTGCGTCCGAAACTAGGAAAGTAGCTGTCGAGAGTGAAGATGGTTTGTACAGTGCAACTGGAGAAATAGTTAGTTCTCAGACAATATCCAGTAAAACTCGTACTGTTGAAACAATAACGGTAAGATTTTATATTTCTAATATTTTGTATTTAGCTTGCTACGTATAATAAAATTGTTTTTTTTTTTTTAATTTTATTTTTGTAGTACAAAACTGAGCGAGATGGAGTAGTAGAAACTCGCGTAGAACAAAAAATAACGATACAATCAGACGGTGATCCAATCGATCACGATCGAGCTTTGGCGGAGGCGATTCAAGAAGCCACTGCAATGAATCCCGATATGACTGTAGAAAAAATTGAAATCCAACAGCAAACGGCGCAGTAACCGATTTAAAAAAAACATTTTTGTAAGAAATAAAGGGCACTCTTTATCCAAAAGGTATAATGCTGATAGTTCTAAAGAATAAAAAATTTAAATGGTATTCACAGTATCATGCGTTGACATGTATTTTAACGATGCATGAGAAACGATCGAATCGGATGATGTCATTAACTGCGTAAGTATTATATTGTCAAAATTAATATTTTTCGTCTAAGAATTAGAAAATTCTTATAGCGAATGTTACCTAATAACATGAGCTTGAACTTGATTAAAAATCAAGATTTTTACGGAAAGAAACATCGATGATGTTGCTTTTTGAATCGAGGTACCTTGTACCATAAACTACAGTGTTCATATTTAGATTATGTATTGTTTACATATACAGGGGCATACATATGTATTATACGTATCGTGTATACATAATTATGTATTCACGTAAACAAAAAATGATTTGTTCATAATTATATAAGACAGAGTGCCCTACAAGCTTACATTACTATTCCATAGCAAGTAAAACCATGATGTTCATGCGATGTCTCGCGTGACGAGTATATTGGTGTCACTCACATAAAAATTTGTTCAAACATACACTAGAATATTAATATTAGTAAGCTTCGTATTTTTTTTTAAGTTTTTGCAGACTTGCTTTCTGTTGTAATTGAAATTTCTATTTTTGAAACTTCATCCGTCAGTCTAATATAGTAAAAATGAAAATAATTTTAAACAATATTGCAGTTGAAAAATGTTTTGAAAAATTGAAAATATTTAAATATATTATTGATATCTAAACGGATTATACAACTATTATAAACGTGTATATATACATACACATGGACAAATACAAATAAACAGTATAACAAAAATTATAACAATTACACGTATAGTGTGATTTTATGAATCTGTTGATACAAAGAAATTTCTCAAAGATGAATATATGGAAAGTAATAGCGAAATATTTATAGTATATAAGTGACCGACATACAAAAAACTTCACGTCGCTTTCGTGCGATTTAAATGTAGCTTCTCTGCAATACTTTTCTGTATAGTTTCGTTATTTGTGACATATTTTTTTTTTTAATGAATGTTATGTGATGTTCATTGTGCGACAAAGTCAAAGGCCTCTAAATATAAAATATTAATATATACAGAAAAAAAAAATATATATATACATGTACACATAAACAGCTATGATTATTTGACGAAAACAATAGAAATCTACAAAGTTTCCAATAAACTAAAGTATTATATAGTATCAGCAATGTAAAACAGGAATAAAGCCGTGTTGTTCGCATTGCTATTGTATACAATTTTTATTTAATAATTTAAAATATGCATTTGGGAACTATGTAGATTTTGTTAAATTATATACTTCAAGAATGATAAGAATTATTAGTATTAAATTTAATATTGATAGGATAATAAATTATATGTATGTAACTTCATGCCAAAAGCTATGATGCATTGGTCAGCGTATATGTCTAAATTTAGCTGTAACTTTTGTAGTTTTAAGACTACAATTTCATATAAGATTTCGTTTGTTCAATAGTTAATTTAATTATTTTACGAAACGTGAGAAATTATGCTAAGAAGGAGAGAAGGCTGATAACCTGAATCTACAATAAAATTATTAAGATTTAAATCACATTTCTTTAAAGAAATAAAGCTATATATAAATATATAAATTTATAAATATTAGAACATACCGCAGCTTCATATACTTATGTATGAATAATATGTATATTGTATGTATATGCGGCAATCGTGAAACAGCATTAAGATATGCATATCACACTGTACGAAGCTTGTTTATACCTTTGTTCTTAAAAGTGTTGTTCAAACGACTATTACATGTACATTACGCTTGCATTTTTGCACAAAGCATTTATTTTGTAACGCTAAATAATATTTTCAGGTGTTAATTATAAACTAATCTTTTTTACTTTTCTACTTTTTACATAACCATAACTGGATTAAATGTTTATATATCTACTAGTTTTCAAAAAAATTTAGACTTTAGCTGTTTACGTTCATTGTATCTTTCCTAGAGTAAATAATTTCCTCTTACGATATAGAACGATTATAGCGTATGTAGAACAAAGGATAAATCACCGAGCATCTACGTGCGATTTGCATTTTGTCTTGTAAGTTAGATTTGTTATATGCTGGCAGCTAACGTTCGAATGTTATAAAATATACTGATTCAGTAATCTCATTTTATTTCGTAGTATTAGCTCATATTTTAAGACATGCTCAACCATTGTATTAGTTCTTTTTGTTCCCTGACTATTATTTGTGAGCAATTCATATACGCAAATTTCACAGATCGATTTTAATGTTTCGTTATGACAAAAGGCAGTAAAGTTACGATAAAGAAGAAATTGATTTTCTACTTGTACCTTTTATACCACGTAAGATTATAATTTATATATTTGTTTTTATTGTATCTAACATTCCATGCTTATAGTGACTAACAAGTATGTATGTATTATAAATGCCTGTGTCATTTAAAACTTATTTATTTAATTTTTCATAAAACTATAATTATCATAATTTTATACTAGCTCTGCTTGAAGAAATTGCTATGAAGTTACAAGCTCAATTCATAATGTGAACAAAATTTTCTTTACCCCGTATTAGATTCATGTATTTATATTTTAGTTGGCATATCAGGTCAAGCATTAAAAATAATATATGAATCTTCAAGCAGTGTACAAATGTAGTTACTAGTATTTTGTACTTTAATACTTCTGTTGTTCATTTAGCGGTAACGTAATAATTATAATATTATATACTTAATATTATACTTTTATAACGTCATAATTATACTGTAATAGTGTTTCGTGCATAAGGACATCTGCATATTAACTGTTTAACTATGCACGTTTTGTTATATTTAAATTGAATTATTGTTTCACACGCATGAACTTCAATATACTTTATTTCAGTTCTAAAAAATGTTATGTTACATGCACATTTATATAATATAAATATTGCCTCGGTGCTAGAAAGTTGTATAAAATATTATTGTAATTAGTTTGCCGTCAGCTTTTTACATAGTTTGCCATATATATATTTTTTTTTGCACACCTTTATTATAGATTTTATTTTTATTTTGTGCACGACTTTCCAGCATGCAGGCAATAACGAATAATTTAAATAGTAGTTATTTAATATAATACGTATATTATAAAAAAAAAAAAATTAAACATCAATGAAAAATATACAATGAATTATAAATAATTTTCTAAAAAAAAGAATATTAATAAATAAGAACACATCTAATTGAGAGAATCTGTTTTCTTGCATGCATATACGTATAGTATTCAATATTATACACAATTATGATCGTGTAATGCTACATGTGTAGTTTGTTATTTTTCGAATTTGTTGTTGTAACGTTGTAAAAGCGAATAATGGCAAATGTATTAAATGTTATACAAGAAATTGTTCTATTATAATATGTTGCTAGATAATTTAAATTTCTGGTAATTTAATAGCTTTGTTCTTTATCAATGATCGCACAACACGAGGCTGCTTGGTTTTAATTACGTTACTCCAAAACGGTCTTGGTGTGATATGACCGTGTCTTATAGTTTTTGTACCTGGCGCTGAATTAGTTGTAACAATCGATTTATCATTGATAATGTATATACATATTATGATAAGCAGAATAGATTTTCTGTTAATATACCTGTTTTCCAAGGCGGGAATATTTGTGGTTGCATTTCGTCGATAGCTGATGAAATTGTAATAGATAACTTTGGACCAGGATGTTGAAACATTGCTCTAGACATTGACTTTTTAAACGCCGGTGGTAAATTCAGTGAATCTAGAACGAAGAAAAGAATTACATCTATAATGTAGGAGCGTTTTTATATAAAGGATCTGAATTATGTAAAATCACTTGTAATATCTTCGTCTAACGTGGTTCTAGAGGACTTTTTCGTTCGGTGAAGATGTTTCTCCATCTTAAATCTTTTCATAAAGCATCGACATATATCCGTCACCGTTTTTCCATTTAAATTTCCTGTAAATTTAATAGATCTTAGAATAAAATGCAAATACAATATCCGAATGCGAACGCACTTATTGTATCATTATTGGCGATAAGATTTTCTTTGTATCTGTAATGCCGAGTTACAGGATTGTCCTGCAAATACAAATCTCTTAGAGAAATCAAGGCACTTATAGTTTCAGTCAGATCATCGATATCGTCGATCAAGTTGTTTCTAACATCTAAAACTTCTAATTTACTCAAGTCCTTGATATCCTTTAAGGATCTCATTTTATTACCAGAGATATTGAGCACTTTTAAACAAGTCTGAAAACAATGTCACAGGTGTTAATGTAATGAATTATTTAACAATTTTTCGTGCGATAACGAAGACACCAGAATACTGTAAACTTACGGATAAAGTATATACGCTTCGTGGATCGAAACATAGCAATTCCCCAAGATTAAGCCTTTGATTTTTAATGTCTAAAGTAGTTAAATTTTTTAAACATTCGAGCCCCTCAACTACGACTATATTATTGTATCCCAAGTACAGCGTTTGAAGCTTTTTAAGGGAATCTAAGTTCTCTATTTTGCTTATTATATTATGTTGTAGATAGAGGTGAGTCAAATTTGATGCAAAGTGTAAATTTTCTATCGCCGATATATTGTTATTTTGTAAGTATATCACTTTAAGGTTTTTATAAAGACCAAAATTACCCTACAAAACGAACAATTATGTGCTGATATTATCAAGGCTCGTATTACATGCTGCTATCTTTCGATAACGATAACTTACAATACTGCTAATAAACATATTACTCATACGTAAGTGAGTCAGCCCGTACAATTCTTCTTTTTTGATTTTTTTGCTGAGGGATTTGCTTAATTGAGCTTGAGAACATTTTTTTTCGATGTACTCGGTAGTTAGTCTCACCATAATTACGAGATTCCATTAAACGACAAATGTAAACATGAAAAATCGCACGACGGGTTCATAATTGATCAAACATTACTTGAAATGGCGCGCGTTTTGCGCATGGTATCATTGCACATCGCTTTTTCCTTATCAAACAAACGACAGAGAAACATTTCGTTTTAGCGCCATCTAGAGTAGTTTATAAATGTTCCGAAGTCGCGCGAAGCGCTGACCACACGTAACATGTGGCTCGTGCGGTAGGATATGTCTGCTTTTCCCACCACTTTGTTAAACGCTAAGGAAATTCGTCGTTACTAGTGTCGTCGTCGATGCACTCGATTATGCCAAATCTGGCCATACTGAATTCTGAATCTGACCACATTGGTCCGACGATGAATGCATTACGACTTTTCATACTTTAAACATCGTGGGGTTATTAACGATGCCATAATGGATGTGGATTTATTAAGGCCAGGCACGGTGCCTATTTCACCCGATACAATTCTGTGGTTTGAATTTTTATTAAATCCATCGTTACTGGAGCAACATTTATCTAAACCCTTTCCTGGTAAATAGTAATCTAACCTTAAATGTCACATTTAACATAAATAGCACCGAATGGCTAATAAAACTACTGCCTAAATTACATTTTCACTCTTATTATAGACCCCTCTGCCACAGACTTGATAATAAAATTTATGACAATAAACTCTGAACAGAAGGAAAATGAAGTGAAAATTGTCGATGCAGAGGCAAATGAAGTAAAATCTAATACTACGAATAAATGGACTCACAGAAATCTTGCTTTAAAGATTCTCTCGTTAAAAGTGGCAGCACACTTGAAATGGGACTTAGATATATTAGAGAAAATGTTACCCTTGCCAATACAAATGACATTATTGCAAGATCTTCTTTATATAACATCAGATTTAACTGTTGAAATACCTAGTGTACCTGAATTTTCAATACACACAATTTCTGACCAAGTTCTGTTCACAATGGTTCTGTGTCACAGGTGGCATATAAGAGCAATTATTTACAGAGCCTTGCATAACAAACAATCAAAGCAACAGTTCCTTCATATGTAAGATTTTAAACATTTATGATCTATGGAATACATTTCAAATCATTCCCCTTTTTACTGTACTTTTATTTTGTATATCAGTCCAGGGATTCAGGAATCAACATATGTACCACTAGGTGTAATAGATGATATAATTAGAAAATTAGAAGCACAAGCATCGAATAGTATAAATGTTTTAAATAACGTCTTGGAAAATAAAGACTTAACTCCAAAAATGTTATCCTTTGATACTTTTCAAATGCTGACTGAAGACAGCACAGAGATAAAACAAAATTGGGAAAATATGTATCCCATAAAATTAGAGGAATTCAAATGCCAGGTATCATTCTTATAACATATTATTCTTAGAGCATTATATTTGTTATTAAATTTTTAACATTTTTATTTAGATACATTATGATCTAGCAAGGTTTCATTTATTAAAAGAAGAGTATCAGGAAGCAAAGCGTCATATCATGCAGGCAAAAGAATTATTTTATAATTTGAATAACTTGGAAAGTAACTTGTATTGCAAAGTTCAGAAGAAATTTTTAGATGGCTGTTGCATAGCATGTGAAGTGCCTATAGATGGTATTACTTCAAGTTTAACTCAACAACTGCAAACATCGATCAAGGATCAATACAATGTATATACCTTTGAATATTCACTGAAAAAAATATTTGTATGGAGGATTTTAACAGCATATTTCTATTACAGAATATATTACAAATTTTACAAGCAGATAATATTACAAGAGAAATTCCACAAGTTTATAGAGATAATTTAGAACTTGATATCCAAGGAGGATCTGTTAACAGAAAGCTTATAGTAGCTCGTGATCTTTTACTTCAAATTCAATGTTTGAATCTGGTTAGAAAAATTTTGGACGGTAGTATTATTCTTGGCGATTATGTGACGGAAATACGAGAAGCCGGTTCCAAAGGAATCGACGTATTTTTCTGGGTAACATGGTTTTTCTTTTTGTTTAAAACAATTTCTCATTATTCCTTCATTATTCATATTATATAAGGATCATTTTAGGCTCTTGGAAATGTTTTAGAAAAGACATCCGATATAGATAAAAAACGAATTTCTCGTTATTTACTTTATCTTGTACATACGAGCAATATCGATGGATTTGCTTCCAAAATACTCGGTGACCCTTTGTATTTAACATTATTTGATGAAAAGGAATTAGATGAAATTAGGAAATCAGTCACTGACGAAGAACTCGAGTTACCCGATTTATTGTTAAAAAATGACTGGGGTGTACAGTTAACGACATACTCTAGTTAGTACATATGAATATTAATTAATTATACGGATATGATATAACGATATGTTATTCTAATTTCAGAAAGCACAAGAATAGAGATGTTCGAATTAGAACAAAAATTAATACAATCGTACAATACTACTGAAATTCACGAAATATTGATACATTTAGATGGAAAACATCGAATGAAACCTTTATGGCATGTGAACAGTTGTTGGGAATTACCTATTCCATTACAGAGTGTTGTAATGTCTCTTCCTAGGGGCTTTCTTCAAGATTATTCATACGTATTGCTAGCAAAAAGTAGAGAGCTGGTAATGTCTAAAGATTTTGAAGGGGCAATTGAAATTTTAACGGTGTTAGAGAAAGAAGCACAGCAACACTCCCAAAGCGGTAATACGTTAATATTTAAGTTATGTAAATTGGTAAATTGGGAATGTCTTCTTGTTGAAATATGGAGGTGTCTTCATGTATGGCCAGTAACAAATATGTGTAAGCATCTTTAATTCAATACTATATTACAACGATCGAGATATGTAAAGCATAAAAATACTATAGGTGATACGCAAAATTTGGTTACAAGGTGTAAACAATGCCTTGGAACACTACAAGCAACAGATCAAATTATTCCACGACAAGAAATCATTGAATATTGTACTGTATTTCTTTTAAATATGGCCGAATGGGATTATCTTACAAGTCTAGAGAAGCGCTGGAGTTACACTGAGTTTGCAGCAGCTGTTAGCAGTGTCTGTCAAGATATTGTCAAGTATAAGGGAAACCGAAAATTTCCAAGAGAGGCATGGGATATGGGTCAGTTTTATAGATATTATACAATAACGTATGTTATAGATTCTCATGAAATATTAAGTAGTTTTATTTTTAGTTTTAGTTGCGTTCGGTCCAAGCAGGGATCAACCTCAAAAACGTAGTAACAGCGGTAGTAGCGGAACTAGCAGCGGTAGTGCTTCAAGAGACGTTATTGCAAGTATAGGCGGTACTCTTAATAGATTACGCGAACCTATGGTTCTTACCGTTGTCATTTCATTGTTAGCACGTTTACGCAACGTTCTGCGCGATGAATCTAGTCTTGAATTACATACACAGTATCTTTCTCTTTGGCCAGCTGGTGTACCAAAGTAAGTATCCATATATTGTAGAATTTATATTATTTTATAACCATATACAAATGTTTTGCAGTGCTAATTCTTATAACATTAGAAGTATTGGGGAATTATTATTTCAATTGTTAACACAAGCTCTGAAATATTATCCAAGTAATGTTTGTTGGTTAAGATTGATGGGGGATCTGAATTTTGGTATGTATTAACAATTTTTACAGGTTTTTGTATTTCATGTTTCCGGTAAGTTTTTCCAATAGATCGAAGCTGAGGGCTCGTTTAAAAATTTCATTTTTTATTCTGTATTAAGTTTTTGAAAGATACAAAATGACCTGGATAAAGTACCGCGATGACTTTTAGGCCATTTCAGAGTCTTTTTAAAGACGCAATATTTTTAGTTTTAGGATATTACGAGAGCGCTATGAAGTGTTATTTAGAGGCTATTATGGTAGCTAGCGATCTGTTTAGTCAACCGGTACCACGTTCGCAGATTGACGATCTTGTTTATAGACGCATGATCAAGTGTTGTGCTCATTTACAATGTTACACTCAAGCTGCCGTTTTATGCCAGTTTCTGGAAGAGGTAGATTATTCTTTAGCATTTAAAATGGTAGCGAGTGATCAAAAAAGTTGCGCTCCGGCCGATGCTATGGATGCATATTATCATTGTATTTGGGACACCACAATTCTTGAATATCTTATACATTTGCATACGAAGCGTGGTGAACATCATAGAAAACAGTTGGCGGTTAGTGGTCGTACATATAGAGTTTCCTTATTTCAAAAAGATAGGGAATTTATAAAAATTATTATTTTAGATTAAAGTAATCGGTTTATTGGAATTAAATTCCAATAATAACGAGGAGATACAGCGGGAGGCAGCGAATATTCGTAAAGCAAAATTTTTGAGGGCATTGGCAAAACAGTACGTTTATTAATAAAAAAAAATGTATATGTACAAAATTTTGTACCACTGTATAATAACTTTTTACTACTTAAATACATCGTCTTTTATATTTACAGTTGTAACCGATAATTGAAACAATCAAATCTCCCACCATTTCCGCGTTTAGCTCGTACCAATCACAGCTATTTGTTTTTTACTCTAATCGATCTGATGAAACGCGAAATTAACGAAATAATTTCATTACGTGCAACAGTTTGGTTAAACTAAACGAGATCATATTAAAAAAATGTTTTTAAAAATGTAAAATAGTATTTTTTTTTCATTACACAAAAATGTTGTAACAGATTCTCCAAGTGAGTCATCTACGATCAGCCCTTATCGTTGAATACATTGTCGCGTTGCGTAGCACGATGAGTGCATATTACCGCTGTACATAAACGTATACATAAATAATATTTGCGTATTAAAAATACAGCGGATGAGAGAGGCCGATCATCGAAGGTAACATACGACGATAGTGGAGTTTGACAAATTGCAAGCAACGTGTATCAGTATAGTTAAAAGTGTACAGTTCTCGCGGTGTTCAGTCTTCGTAAACACGGCGCCATGATGTTCTCGAACGCCATAACACTGTTATACGACGTTTCGTTCTTTCTAAGGATAAATATCTGTAGCTGAAACTGCATGCGAGAAACGGAGTAAATAAATATCGCAGGGAACAGTTCGCTACGTTAGAATAAATTTTTAGATACTCAATTCTGGGTGAGTACGCGAGAAAGTTTCGAACGTTTTCTGAAATTCTGAACGTTCTCTGTTAACTATTGCTCATTGCAAATACCCCGACCGCCACGGAAACGAGATTGAAAGACGGAGAGAAGATAAGGTGGAAGAGAGAGACAGAAAGATTATGTACGCTGCGAGTGGCGATACTGTATTACAAGAAAATTTGCTTAGATGTTTATCGTGTTCGTAGAACTGTTGTCATTAAAAATACGATAAAGTCAAGGTGTGGAATCGATAAATTCGCGGATATTTTTAATTGATTGTGATGGCGAGAGGTTGGCGTCAAGAATGTGGTAACAGGAGTGGGAGATTGTAGTAAAAACAATGCTGGATCGCTAGGCCATTGTACGTAAGTGTGTATGCAATTTTATTTCTGGTTAACTTTCATTTTTCTTTCATGTGTTTTTAAAATACGCTTTCCGACGTGCTGCTGCTACATGCTTTTTATTCTGCGAACTGTACGAACAGGATTTTAGAAACGTCTAACCTCACATATAAAACAATATTTGTTTCTTTGCGTCGCCAGCATTATTAACGCCTTTGTAATTCGAAACAGACAGATTTTAACAGCTACCTAGTATTTCATATATAATTTTATCATTTTTTAACCAAAGTAGAGAGTAATAGACGTACAAGAGATATTTGTGTCAACTATATTAGGAAATTCTAAATCTAGGGAGCTTGATAGATTGTCTTGAATTACAGGTTGTTTAGGAACAGAAATACCATAAGAACATCATAGAGATAGTTTACATATTACAGTATTTTTAACATGGATGATGAAGAAGGATCATCAAGCTCTGGACCTATGTCTTCGTTGAACAGTTTATTTTCATTTACTAGTCCTGCTGTGAAAAAGTTGCTTGGTTGGAAACAGGGTGACGAAGAGGAAAAATGGGCAGAAAAGGCAGTGGATTCTTTAGTAAAAAAATTAAAAAAACGAAAAGGTGCAATAGAAGAATTAGAACACGCTTTAAGCTGTCCAGGAACGCCTAGCAAATGTGTTACAATTCCAAGAAGTTTAGATGGTAGATTGCAAGTTTCACATCGTAAGGGTTTACCGCATGTAATTTATTGTCGAGTGTGGAGATGGCCAGATTTGCAGTCACACCATGAATTGAAACCTTTGGAATTATGTCAGTACCCTTTCTCTGCAAAACAGAAAGAAGTTTGCATCAATCCTTATCATTATAAAAGAGTGGAAAGCCCAGTACTACCACCAGTTCTGGTTCCTAGACATTCAGAATATGCTCCAGGACATTCATTGTTACCATTTCAACAAATAGCAGAACCAACAATGCCACACAATGTGTCCTATTCTTCTAGTGGATTCAATGCTGGATCCACTGGTGGTGTAAATCCAACTTCACCTATGTCTTCTGTTGGGTCTGTTCCAAGTCCAGGAAGCACAACATCACCAAATCCACAAAGTCCATATGGTACTAATGGATTACCAGAAACTCCACCTCCAGCATATTCCCCGCCTGAAGATGGTTCACAACCTGGACAATCACCACCACCTGATCCAGTAGCAATGGATACAAGTGGAACATCAGAAGTAGCTCCAGTGTGTTACCAAGAACCGCCTTATTGGGCCTCTATCGCATATTACGAATTAAATTGTAGAGTGGGTGAAGTTTTTCATTGTCATTCTCACTCTGTTATTGTGGATGGTTTTACAAATCCAAGTAACAACTCTGATCGTTTTTGCCTTGGACAGTTGTCTAATGTTAATCGAAATTCTACTATTGAAAATACAAGAAGGCATATAGGCAAAGGAGTGCATCTGTATTATGTAGGTGGTGAAGTGTATGCAGAATGTCTCTCTGATTCTGCTATATTTGTGCAATCTAGAAATTGTAATCATCATCATGGGTTTCATCCTAGTACAGTTTGTAAGATTCCACCAGGATGTTCATTGAAGATATTTAATAATCAGGAGTTTGCTCAGCTGCTTTCACAAAGTGTTAATCATGGTTTTGAAGCTGTCTATGAATTAACAAAAATGTGTACAATAAGGTAAACTTTATAATAATTTAAAAAGTTAATATTTAAGAATGAAAATAATGATGTATCTATAATAACAATATTTGTTGCAGAATGTCCTTTGTTAAAGGATGGGGTGCTGAGTACCATAGACAAGATGTTACATCAACACCCTGTTGGATCGAGGCACACCTACATGGACCCTTACAGTGGTTGGATAAAGTGTTAACACAAATGGGTTCTCCTCATAATGCTATAAGTTCTGTGTCATAATTTGTGTTTCGTGTTTAATTGCAAGGAGAGAAAAAAAATAGTGAAATGTAGAAAGAAACCTGATGATTCAAGAGCAGTTTTTAATATTACATAGTGCGATAGTAATATAGACATCATAAGAGATTTAAAGAAAGAATAATGAGAATGGTAAGCAAGACAATGCTGTCCCAATATGAGACTTATCTCGTGTCTGCGCAACGAAGAAAATTGATAATATAATTCTTATGAAAATAAAGGATTGCAAAAGTCAATAAGTATTGAATGTGATCCTTGATACGAAAATTTGAGAGATCACGATGTACGCGCAAAAGCTGTACAACTTTTGGCTGTTACATAGGGAGAGAATTATAGTAAAAGATATGTCTTAAATATATATGAAAAATCATATTTTTCAAATCTATTCAACTACTTCTAATACTTTATTTTATATGGAAAATTGTTGTGGAAATATTTGCCAGCGCTATATCATGAATGCTTCGCTAGATTTGTTTTGAGTCTTTTTTTATCATAGGTGAACAAATCTACCAATATGGAACGAAGATAAATAATTACCAGTCAATAAGGAGAAATAATTCAGATTTCAATGATATAACATTTTTAATGTTTACAGTTTTAAACAGAATACGCGTGCTTTTAAAGCATCTGATTTATGCCTAAACAAGCCTTAGACTATTCAAATTTATTACTATAAAGACTGTAATCTAAGGATTATTAATTTCGATTTTACTAATAGTAATGCAATTAATATTTCAATATAGACATCAGATGCTGATCTCACGTTGACGTTTGAAAGTTAACTGCATCCGATGACATATTGGAATATTAACTTTAATAATGCAAATAAAGAATATTTTTTGTGCAACGTTCCCTAACATTCATATAATGTAAGCCTTTGGATGTAGCCTTATAAGAAACTAATGTGACAACTAACACAGAGTCATCTACCTACTTGCTACTTGTCAGATTTGAGAGTAATATAAGAATTATATATTAGCTTTGCACTTTTCAGAAGTGTTTGCAAATTTCAGACTTTGGCAAAGGTTAATGTACATACAAAAAGTATAATAATTATATGGCATCGTGTGCAATTGAAATAATTGGTGTTATATTTGGTACAAAACGATGAAAATTTTATAAGTAGAATTCTGAAAAGTGCCAAAATCGTATGTATGTGACGCTCTTTATTTAAACTATGCCAAATCATATTGAATGTTACGTGTATTAATTTTCTTACGAAAAATGAATTTTTTATAAAAAATATTTACTTCAAACAGAATGTAATTCACTTCATATATTTTAATGACCGATGTACAAGTTCTATAAGAAGTCTATACAACATTGTGTGTAACAATCGCGTGTCACATACATTCGGTAATGAGCTAGAAAGGTCATATGAATATTTAGTTCGAATTCAGTGAAATCCGAGATACCGAGAGGACTTTCACATGAAAGATTTGGTATTAATAATGGTCTTGTCTGTATCTTTTTATGTATTTATGACAGAACATTAATTCCATGATATAATTGTTCGCAAACACCAACTCCTTGTTTAATTTTTGCATGAAGATACACAGGTATTACAAAGCACAAATTTTACTTAATATTTTAAAAGTGATTGCCTGTGGCATAATGTATATTCCAATGATCTTCTGGCTTGCTGATAAATTCATAACTATTCATCAGATTACTTTTATGTATATCCTACGTATATTTAAATTATAAGTATGAAGAAGGTATACGGATCATATAACGCTATCTAAGAGTACTTGAGAACTGTGAAACAGAAGTCACTGCCGCCTGTTGTTACTTATTTGTCGATATACCTAGCTGTGATTCTTTGCTACCAAATTTAACAAATTGCGCGTGGGTGATCAACGATGATAAATGTTTTTTGCTTCGTCGAATTAACGAATGTAATAAAAAAAATAATTAAACCTATGAATGCAAATCGTACAAGGAAATATGACAATAACCCGTTATGAGAAAAATAAGACGATCTTATACACGGCGAATAAAAATATTCAATCGGAAGAATATTTATCGTTCCACTTACCGTTTCTTCGTGATCACTTGTGAAATCAGTTTAGTTGAAACGAAAGAATATTTTTCACCGAGACCACCACTCTAGATAATAATTGGTGTTGATGAAATTTTTAAATATGTACACCGATCGAAACAAATGTGAAATTAATGTTTTAGGTATGTCGAGCTTGTCGCACTCGTAACGAGCAACAAATGCTTTATTGCAAGATGTATGTATAAATAGTTACATATATAATACCTATACTTGGAGCTTTTACTCTTTGTTGGTATTTCGATTTCTTTATTAATGCAAGCACAATATATTACGAATCTCGTTTCCAAATCACCTGTTAATCGCTTCTTCGTTGCTACTCTTTTTCAGATTACTAATTGCGAGAAGGCCTGGTTAATGTTACACTAAAGAACTATAATGCTACGACTTATATACTTAAGTACATACCGCCCAAGTTGTGCCTTGGATGCCTTTTACATTCTATACACGCCTTATAATATTGTAATCATAAACGTATTAAATTTAAATTTATTATAGCATGTAACATGGCGAATGGATGCATTGTTTGCCAAATAACGCTTAAAACATTGCAAAATGTTGTAACGTTATATATAAAATCTGTCTTCTATCTACAGCCCTGAACTCTAAACGTAGGGATATATTTAAAAAATATAATAGTTTTCCAGAGAATAAATGTATTTATATACACGTGAACGTATATGAATCGACTATTTACGAACGGTGATTTGGAAAGGGACTCGTAATCATCCTAGATGTCAGTCAGTGTAAATAAATTTTTTTAGCTGTAACAACAAGTACATCTTCAGAATTCATTCCACATTATATATCATTTAGACCCGATAGTTGCGGGCGTTTTCTTCGCTATTTCCTTTGCGTTTCTTTGGGATGTCAGTGTCATTGTGTATATTACTCTAGACGACGATGATAAGAGGCGTAGTTACCTGTCGCGATTCAGAAGTACGATATCGTATGACGTAATTTTAGTTGTAAAATTCTAAAGATTGTCAACCGAGGACTCGAAGATACGGCAAAACGCGTCGAGAGACGCATTCCTTTCCTTATCCGTCGCGATATTTATCGTTCGAGCATGTACGACAACTTGTACCGTTTATTATGATCGGTGATACGATAGAGCAGGTACAGTTTCACGAAGCAATCAGAATTACGATATCGTACAGCTTTACTGTCGTTATAAGATTACGGAAATCGTTAAGAGGGGACTCTGAGTACATTAGAATATATCGTAAGGTGTACTATCGTTTTCTCCGCCTGTCTTTCGATACGAAACGATCGGTTCTCGTTGGACGATGTTAGTAACCTTCGTTTTGTGCTACTGTATCTGCATTTCTGATAATTACTGTGTTATGCAGCTACCGAGTATAAATAAAGAATATTTCCTATCTGTGTATCTATGTGCAATGAAAAAATACTGTAGTTTTACTGGTCTGAAAGTAAATCAATATATACAATAATCCGTAATATCCTCAATAATTCCCGGCATTTTCGATAGCTTTATATCCCTACGTTTCATTGTTGTATTTTACAACGAAGTAGAGGTAATCGATTGACGATCAAAATTAAGGATCTACTAATCGATATATTTTGTGTTTAAACGACGAAAGAAAGGGCGCGATTTTGAGCAAGTGTTCCTATAGGTCGATTCAGTAGTCGATACTCATTGGTCTGTTTACTGACACTTATTGGGATTCGTCGTTCTCAAACTGCGTTTTGAATTGGTAACGGACATTTCCTTCTTTCTGTGTTTGCCTTCCGATGGTATCGTATCAGTATTGTGCGTGGATAAGTGATCGTGTGTCGAGTTCGAATAATCGTGGAAAAGTTATTTGGTTCAATGTTACTGATTTCGTTCGGGCAGAATGTTTATACGACGAGACGCAAATAGTTGGAAGTTTAGAAGATTATGAAAAATTAACACAATTACATGGATGAATGTGACTTGGTAAGTTCCTATCACATATCTATCGTGTCATAAGTTCATATTTATATTTGTAAACTACCGTCTTTTGATCGTCCTTGTCGTTGTTTTGAAATTCCATTATTTTAAAATGTACGTTTTAACATTAACAGACACGAAAATGATATATTCGATTCATGATTTAAAGAATTTTGTTTTCTTTTAAACGCTGATGGCTCGTGATTAGTTCGAAAATTCGTATGTATGTTTCATCGAAATATTTGAGGTTCGGATGCGTATCAATGGTATCGAGATATTGTACAGTGAATTACAAAATTATTGACACACGTAGGAAGTGATAGGAATATAACCTCATTAAAACTTTAGAGTCCTGTCTAGATTTATTTTCTTTAACATTTTACATTAATATCCTAGAAAAGTTTTCTGTCATTGATTTAAACGAATAATTTCTTCCTGATTGAAATCGTATCTGTGTTTAGTATTTGCTTCGAGATACCCAGAATTACAACGGCACGTCGTAGTATCGCCACTTGAGCCAATGTCAAACATAAACATCTGTGACGTATTTATGGTTTCGGCTCTGCGATACAATATCCTTAAGAAAATACCTACGTTGTTAGATTCGTTGACCCCGCTACGTGCGTCTCGTTTTCGAAAAGGCGATGACGAATCATTTTTTATTAGAAAACAGAGTAATTATTTAGACGTTTCTTACAACCACAGCCATGTGTAGTCTTGTGATAGGAAAAGAGAACTCCGCACCACGTGTAGTCGTCCGCGCGCTAGAGTAGGATATTAGATCCGGCGATAAAGAAGGTTAGGATATAAACAAGTGGAAAATCTTTTAGTATTCTTGTATTATATCGTGTATCCAATATACATTAAATACTTTCCTTACAAATATTCTACCGTTAGGAACACTTGCATCATTAAATTCACCAGTATCAAGAATGGAAATAGAATATCAGACGATCAATCTTGGAATGAGATTAAGATAACGGACAGCAATAAAGAAACTGTGGAATTTAAAGCACATTTTAAAGACAGGTGTTCTACCCTCTAACTTCTCGAATTTTTTTCTCGAAAGTGGGTAGGATTTCGCAGGTATGTGTATTCACCAAAAATGATTGTAATCGACCCCCGTAACCGAAACTATTTTTTCCAGAACGATTTGACATTTTTTAATTCAATTGTTAATAACCTTTTAAGGAAGCCTCAATCAAGAAATTGATATTCTTGATCTTCGTCTTATTTTGGCCTCTAGAATCTCCAAGGGTGGTCGAACACCCTGTATAAGTTCTTTTGATCGAGAGACAAGACCGGCTGTACACAGCGTGCTATCTTTTTGTCGCGTAGGGAACGAAGGGGGAGAGAAGAGGTCGACGAGTCAGTGATGCTCGGGGGAAATGATTTTCGGCGGTGGCGCTACGGTTGGTCATTTCCATCTCCACCGTACGCCTCGAGCACTGTCTCCGTCACTGGCAATTCCACCCCCTTCTCCGTTTCGCGGGTACCGACGCCTCCGCACGGCGCCGATCAATAACGTCGTTCTCGGCGACGCCGGCGTCGGGAGCGTCGCTGCGTGGAGGCATCCGCAAGCGATCGACGTGTCGCCACGAATGTTGTACACGGCCGCGATCTGAAAAGGAGCGTCGCGCGGGGTGAAAAAACGTCTGGGCATGCGACCGACGCATTTATCGCCGTTTACCAGAACGCGACTTATGTCAAGGAACCGCAGCAACGGCAACGTTCGCAGCCGGGATCAGAGTGTTTCGGGACGGGACGATCTTTAGGACCCACCCAAGAGCGAGATGGCCAAGGTGAGTTTTTCCAGTAAAAATAAAACGATCGCCTGGTCTCTCGACGGGATCGAAGTGAACGTAACGCGATAGTGCGCGTTGCTCCGTACGATCGTGCCAGACTCCGTTCGTCCTTGACGATCGTTACTTTATTATGCGCGATGAACGCCGTAACGCTTCTCTGTCAACAACTGTTGCTGATTCTTGGGGGCAGGATCGTTTCGCTGGCGTAGATCGGGCTCGATCGTTCGTCCCGTCGATCTCTGAAAAAAATATTCCGCCGTCGGGTCAGGTGGATCGCGAAACGTAACTCGGGGTTGGCTGTGTGGACAGTGGTCGCGGTCAGTCTCGGCAGAAAAAGTAGTTTGGCGCCGTCATGATCAGCCGGACTGCGGCACATAGTCAACCTCGATGGTGGGGCTATGGGGGAAGCGACCGAAACATCGCTATAGCAACGACCAGACAAATATTTATGCATTATCGTGTTTACGGTGCACGTTCGAACGATACGCGAGCCATTTACAGTCCTTCGATAATCGATTCGACGATCGAATCCGTGGTCCAGGGCTTCGATCTTGACCACACGCAGGCCTAGCACGCCCGGGGGGAGGAGGGGAAACGAATTTATAAATATACCGTGATACACGTGGAATTAATGGTCTCTAATTTTAGTGAATGAGAGAGCTTACAGATACGGAGCTTTATCGATAGATACGCAGCGTTTAGACGCTGGATTGTGTCTCATTGTCGGTCAGGTACAAAACGTTAAAAACCGTAAAACACTTATTTAACCGCAGCAGTGCGGAAACCGTGACGATCAGATACCAGCATTTATTTGTACGTTCAAGAAATTTTCGTAGTGGGTAACCTATTTACAAATGAAACGTTCAGCGTTATCTTGATCCGACGATACCGGCTAATGTTTCAACGACGACACGATAAACGTTTCGTTTCTTTCTGGTCGATTCCGTCAAACGTCAATTACCAGCACAATGCAGAGTACCTACATACTTACGTGTCTCGTTCGTCCGATGCACGTACGTTTGTGTCAGCTATGCCGCGAGTTTTTGTGATCGATGAACAGGCACATACGTGCCTCGTATAGTCAACGTGGAGTCGGTTCCCGTTGTGTATCGGGACAAAAATATTTCCGGTAAATCACGAAAAAGATAAACACGTTACCTCGAACGACAAATTCAATACAATAATTTGCATTCTTTGCTTTCTTTCATCGTAGTACGTGCTTATACGTCGAACATTTGTACATCCTTTATTCAGTGCAAGACTGGAACGATTCATGCAGTACTGTACACGTAGTTTTTATGCCAACGGCGGTGAACGATAATACAGTAAAAATAGCAATGTTAAATAATTCTTCAGGCTGCTTTAAATGTCAAACAGTCGATCCGTGTAAAATAAGGTTCTACGGCCATCTTTTTTCGACCCTCCGCGAAAGAATCCCAGTATGGAAAATAATAAAAATTCACGAAGTAACTAGTTCCTCGAAGTATTGAGAAACATCGTTAGCAGCCTGCCACTAATGCAATTGTATTTGCATACGTTGCTCGGCTCGAACGAATTTTTAGTACTCGGGGGTCACGCGAAGGTCATAGTGTCGTAGGTCGTTGGATTCGCCTTGAAACGGAGACGAAGAAACATCGTCGTATTTTTGAACGATCAAAGAACGATAGAAACCTACATTCGGTCGGTGGAAACAAGGAGGCGGGCCGCGAGCATCCTCGTGCAATTTTTATACGCCGTGAAAGTTCCATTGAAGCCGTTTAAACGGAACTTATTAAACACGTTCCATATCTGTCTCGGTGTTTTTTACGGCTGGTTTCGATGAATGGCCAAACGCGTACCGAGTGTGACGGAAAACGCTTGGAAAGCAGCCGCACGGGGAAACTTTCCTAGCCTCGTATGTAAATGTTACGGTCACGTTGTATAACTTCGTGAACGTTTTTAACCGTCCTTATCAATTTATTCCGAACGTTCGATTTTTTTATGCGATCGGTCGCGTCGAGTGTCGGGGCACCGTGTAACAGAATCGTCGAACGCGACGGGCATAGACGAAGAAGAGCCACGCGAACTGGTTGTAAAAGCGGCGTCCGCTGACTGACCCATTATCCAGCGAAGGTGCTTTCTTCGTAAAATTTTCACCGTGTTTAACGGTCCTCCGGAGACGTGCTCGTTCGCACAAAACCGGTACACGTGCAAATAGACCATTTCTAACGCGCGCCGACTGCGAATTAACAAGTACGCGCTCGAAACGGCCCGTTCGTACGGATTCGATCACTTTCCTACCTCGAGAGGGGTCCGAGATTTCGACTATATTTAAAAAAATTACAATCAGCCGTGAGGCAGAGATTTCACGTACCACGAAGCTAATGGTACTTCAGACTCGGATCGGTACTGCAGATTCAATTTTTATCTTCTATCGATCATTCTTACGATTCAAGGAAATTTTATTTAGCAAAATTCAACCATTATATTACTAATTTTCTACAGCTATAAGTCCAGGGGGAAAAAGTGATCCGTTTGGAGAGGGATGACTCGGAAATCGTTCGAATAAAAATCGCGTTAACCGGAATCTCGCGGTTCTCCGCGCTGTGTCTGCAATTTGTTGGACAACTGCATCCAGTCTGAGTGGGCCTATATATATAATTCGTATATATAATAGTTGGCACGAAAACACGACGAATCGCGGCCAACTGTATTATATTTCTGTCTAGGAGAGAGAGTGCTCGTAGATGATATCGGGGTGGCTGGACCGATAATGATCGTCGGGGGCTTTTTTTTTTTTATTCGCGTTTCGGCCATATTTCAACGTCTATGGTTTTTCGCGCGTCGCGGAACCGCGCTCGATTTACGCGCGATACACAGACCCGACGCTCGATTCGAGTGGTAAATCTATAACGCGAACAAAAGAGCCTTTTTGATGAATTTTTTTGTCGGTCTGAACGATCGTACACTACTTTCGTAATAATCGAGCGTTATTATTCGTTTTTCTCAAACAAATATTGGGAAATATATGTTAAATAAATTGAAAACGACGAAGACTTTTAGTACATTTTTTAATATGTTTCTGGGGTAACAATTCGTTTTGAAAATTGATAATGAACGCGTTCAACCGTGTAACCGTTTTCTTAAATTAGAAGAAAAGAATGTTATGCGAGCGTGGAATGGCCAGGAGTTATGACGAGTTGAAGAAAAATGCGTACAGCGCGCGCTATAACAAGGTCTGACCCATTCCGGTATTTATTAATGTCACAATTACGTTTCCACCGTCGAAGTCGAGTATTGGGAAAGGAACGATCATCGTTTATCGCGTCTGACCGTAGCGACAACGTGACGTTAAGTATATTTACTTAATGGCAGTTGAACCATTTCCAATAATTCGTTATAAACTCCAGAAATAGAGGCTGGCCAGGGGTACCCTTTTTGCTCGTTTCGTGCCCTCGATTTATCCTTCGTAACGCCGACGCGCGATTAAGAATCGACCTGCGTGATCGGGTAAAAATACTTGCTTGTGTTTAGAACGGGTGAACTTGCGGCGGAAGAGTACAATAAATAATCTATTGGCGCCGGTTTAACGTTTCCGACCGACGTATGTTTACACAAACTGGAATAATTAAACGAAGAAAAACTTGGCTCTTCGTTAGTTTCGATGTAGAAACGCGATGGTGGTCGAAGATAAAGAACCCTCTTTGAACACGAGGACATAATGTGGTCTGAAGAAACGAAAATTAATTGCTTCGGATCAGACAGTGACGAGTGGAGTTGGAAAATGCGTAACGAACAGATTCAGGAGCAAACCATTCATCCGATGCTCAAGTTTGGAGGAGGACACGTCATGGTTTAGGGTTGAACGACCAGCGAAGGCGATGAGCGCATCGAAAAAGCGAAGAGAGGATGTCTGTAAAATCACACGTATAACCGTACCGCGAAGTATTTTACCGAAATAAAGGATGAAGGTGGCGGACGTCGTTTTTCAGCATGAGAACGGTCGGAAATGACACTAATTATTAAACAATGGGTCGATGGAGCATCGGTTTGTTCCCTTTAATTGGCAAAATCCCGCGACCTAAATCTCATTGAACAGCCTGATGGGGGCTTGCTCGCTAAAAAGCAGTTATTACGAACTTTCCGCGTACTCCAACGTACGTTACTGCACTGTGGACAGATGTGAAGACGGCTTAGGAAAATGTCGGAAGAGAACAGAGTAAACATCTTGTTGAAAGTATGCCAGAACGCGTCGGAGCTATAATAAAAGCGAAAGGAGGCTGTACAAAATATTAACGTTACGGCTTATTATAGTCTCGTGTTCTATCAAATAACAGTGACGCGTTACGTTATATTTAATTACATAAACATAGATAGTTTTGTAACACTCGTTACTTAAAAGTGTTCTACCCTTATATCGTAAGGCGCCTCCCATGGTCGCACCCTTTACTTTGTAAAATACTTTGTTCAGCAAGAACACGAAACTTACATTTAATTATATCCAGGAATTAGCAATTCGTTTTTATTTTTTCACGTAACACACATCGCCGCGAAATGATCTATCAACTCGTTCTTCGTCCCCTCCTCGTCGAGTTCCAAGCTTCAAAATGGCGGCCGCTCGAATGACCGCTAAAAAAACCGCATTGTTCGAGGGACAACCGTACAACAGTTTTGTTGGAACGATCCCTCGTCCACGCGTGAGAGGTTGTCGCGTACATGCGTACGTACACACGCGGCATTGCATGAAAACGCAGCGAGTTGGCCAGCCGAGGTTAAGGAGAGGCCTTTCAAGGTCCTACGGCGATTTTTACGCGACGGGAAGTAGGAACGGATGTGTATAAAGGTCGACGAGGACCGGTTGCGTGGCACCGCGACGATTTCGATCCTAAAATCGATAATGTCGGGCACAAAAGGATCAGTTCAACGCCGTGAAATTTCAAGCTCGCGACACACGCGTAACGTTCCAATTAATTGTCGAGTTTGCATTGCGCGCCTCGTGTTTCAGCGGAATAAGAATT